CCAGCCATATGCGCCCGATGGCGCTCCGGCCTCCTTGGCTGTTTCTCGACATCGGGTTCAGGTAGTTGAGGAAGGAGAGAATGCGGTAGATGCAACATAAGTGCCTTATCGCTATAAACGAATTCACACGAAAGCACTGACTCTGTGCTCAACGTGCTGTGCAGCACACGGTGGACATCATCGGTGACGACGATCGAAATGCTGCGTTCTTTCGAAAGTTGATCAGCTGTGCACGCTCATGAGGCAAAGTATGACTTTTCTGTTGCCAAAGAATCTGAAAGTGACACATGTTTTCTCCAAATGCAATTGTTTGGGGACCAAAATAACAGTTTTTATGATTTACTGGTTTTTTTCTGGATGGTAGGGCCTACATCCTCTTTAGAAGAAGTTGGGTGGATAGACCGCTATTATAATTGGTCATGTATATCTAAAGCCTCGTGTAAAAATTTCCAACCAGGTATTAACTTTAAAGACTGACTTCCAGTTCGATTAGCTGGGTAGAGTGGAGTAAACATGTAGGATACCACATTCTTTACTGTGTGCTAACTTCAAGAATGATCCGAGGACAAGTATTCGTTCCAAGATCTACATATAGTAATTCTAAAAGTACAGCTACCGCAATCATTTTAATTAATTTTAAAACCGTTGGGGATTTTGGCCGAAGTTGCTGGACCGAGACCCCTGAAAGAAGCCTTTGAAGTGGACGAGGAAGGGGAAACACCAGATGCTTCATTTTGACTTTGGAAATAGCTGCTTGTATCCGACGCTTCGTGAGCCAACTGGGCATGCGAAGGGGACCCATCGGAGCCTTATCAGTGTATGCGAGGTCAGCTGTTTGTCTAGTAGAAGATTGAACCTTACTGGTTCTAAATACCGCCACAGAAGAGGTAGTCTTTTTCGGCAGAGCTAGTTTGACATTCATGCATCATCAGCTTTTCAGGCACACGGCGTATGTGACCATCGCAGTTGCTACACCAACACTGCTATTGTATGTTGGCCTATGCACACCCTTATTTACATAATTCAATGCTTGACAGCAGAGTCAGGGACAACGCAGAGCTAAAGCCACTCATCCGATTTCGCTCAAGGTTTATGTCATGGTCTGTATGCGTAATGGCTTGCGTGTTTTCAATGGTATACGAATGTGACTGTCGACGTCTTGCTGCTCCAATCAACAGAAATTCCTGAATTCAACAATAGGGACTGAACGTCTGCTCCGTCCAGGGGTTGGTTGGTTGGCCAAGGAATTGCAGTTTTATCCAAATGAAAACCTCGACCTGAAGACTGTGTGCACTTCCTTCTCCGTTGCAACCGCTGATAGGCACATTTTTCAGTCTGCTGACACCTAACTCGAAATGCAGTTAAACGGGCATCTGAGCGGCCAAGTAAAGCATTCAAACAGAACATTCAGTCGTCCAAGAGAAGACAGTCCAGATACGGCATCTGGTTTTCTTTTCACATCAGTTACCATTATCGAGGATGTCCATAGGAGATTGTGGGTTGCCATCGCAGCTGCAGGCAGATACCAGAACGTCTTCGAGTTAGACGGCATCAGTGGAACACTGGTTTAAGTACCTGGGACTACAAGTGGCTTCGCTTTAAATTCCGACAGATACCTTTTCCAGTGTTCTAGATATAACTATACCACTGTCCGAAGGCGAATTTCGGCCCTACTACTCACCTTTTGCAAGCTAAGCACAAGGCTCCCTGTATTACACGGGAAGGCGGGTGGAGGTTGCAGATATAGTCAGATGACAGAGCGTCTGGGAATTAGACCGCAGTTTAGGAAACCCAACCTGCTGAGTGACAGGGCTTAAAAGGCTTCCTTGCAGAATGATGTTTTTCCCTAGCCTGACAGGCGATTTACGAGACTGCCGGCTTATTATCCTCATCAGACCTACCCACGTCCCGTCCTACTCAGCAGAAGCATAGTTAAAAACTCCAGAAGTCTAACTCCAGACTTCGTTGCGTTTGTGCTGTGCAGAGCTCGTGATCTTGCTACAACAGTCCCTGCGGTTAGGATTGCCGGGAGGGCAAGAAGCCTGTTCCACAGCAACCAGTTGAATTATTCACTCGGAGCTACAATCCCTCCGGTGATGGCTGTTGTGTGCGATGCAGTAACTCTCCAATATAGTCAGGGAGGATTAACTTCAGGTCAGACCAGCTGTTTTCGACTAATGACGTTTCAATGGTGGCTCTGAAGCTTAGCACTGAGAGCAACCAGAATCCTCTCCGGAATTTAACGCAGGTCAAAATATAATACGGACAGAAGGAGGGCAATTATTAGTCCAGACCTGAAGTAGCTGGTCTGATAGCAAAGAGCAAGCGCAATAACCTGTCAGCTAGAGTTTTGTTAGCGGCATTTTTGTGGTGGAGCTTGAAAACGTTACTCGGCACATGGTACCTTACCAGTGCGTCAATTGCGGCCGGACGAGCGCACTCCGGACAATTTGTAGTTCATTAATCCTTCCGAAACACTTGCACCGGACAACACTTGCATCGGACACCAATGGCGCCATAAATAAATTCTAGATTGGCGTCTAAAAAACGAAAATGGACTATGCGGTCTGTTGCACACCTGGCGAACTTTGACGTAGGCTTAAATGGTTTCTTGTCAGATGACATTCAAAATTCGGTAATAGCGAATACCCTTGTTGCCTGCGGCTCAAATAGACACGCACAAGCAGCTTATGGCCTCGAAAATGACGGATTGAATACGAACCCACATTGAGAGTAAAATAAGCAAATGGCCTATAGAGGCACTAAGGTTTGCATCTGAAAAAAAAATAGTTTCTCCGGCGCTGCAGCTGGATTCGCGTTAAATTCCAGAGCGGTGCCTGTT